TCTCCGTCTCTCTGCTCCTCTCTGTCTCTCTCTGCTCCTCTCTCCTCGCGTCTCCGTCTCTCTCTGCTCCTCGCGTCTCCGTCTCTCTGCTCCTCTCTGTCTCTCTCTGCTCCTCTCTGTCTCTCTCTGCTCCTCTCTCCTCGCGTCTCTCTCTCCTCGCGTCTCTCGCACCTGCGCTTCTTAAAGATGTTGTTTGATGCGGAGCAGAGTCAGCAGCTAGATTTGTTGTGAGATTATTAAAAGAAGCTGGTTCTCTTATCTTTACAGTATATAAAGTTTGTGGATGTCATTGCATTGGTGATTAAATGCTATTTTATTTGAATAATGATTGTAAATCTGACTTTTAAAGTCAGTGCCTCCCCAATCACAAACCTCACCGCACGTCCCTGGTTTAGAGCATGTCTTGTATTAACAAAATACAAAACCTAAAAATGAATGAGAGTAAGATCTTGAAAAGTTCTTTTATAGTGTTGCTAAAAGTAACAGTAAAGTAAAGTTACTTGCACACTGTCCATGAGGCGCCGGGCTCCTCTTCTCATTCATACAGAACCATTGCTTTCTGGAAGTTAAAAGATTTTCAATTCAAACTTGGTCTGAAGCTTTGAACCAAGCGCTGCATCGACTTTACGAGGGATTCTCAGGGCATTTCATTTGCAACAATAAAATCTATTCACTATTGATACGAGTATAGAGCAGCGAGCCACCGACAGGACTGAGCTCAGGCACAAACGGCAGAATCTTTCTTTTTCTTTATGAGATCAGAAGTAATAATGTCTGATTTGAGAGAAAAGGCACAGTCTGTAGTGGTTTACAGCAAAGTCAGGCAATAATGAAATATGTGTTATAAAGTACTCAATTTGGTTTAGAAAAAGAAAGTTTATGGACATATGCTAATGTAAGGTAGTGCACCGTAACAAAGGAACTGATTGTAAAAAACATGTGACTGTTTAATTTCACAATTGTATCTAAGGGTTTTAATCCTGCTTCAACATCCTGCTCTGGACAGCCTCAGTCCTTGTTCTACACCCTGAGTCCTGGATCTAAAGCCTGTTTGTTCATGGAAGTTGATCCTAGCGGTTTACAATTTTTTTCCCCACTGGAGTTTTGTTGTTGTTGAGACAATCCTTGCCGATGCAGGACCGTCAAGTTAATACTTTGGCCATCCACCATCCATGGAACAATCCCTCTTTTGTCTTTAGTAGTATTGCATTTCATGTGTTTTAACAGTTTGATTCTCTGATCTGTTGCTGTTGTGATCATGGATCTTTAATAATAACTGGACAGGGTGTTACTAGCTTGTAGCTGTCCCACCCATGGGCACAGGGGGCGCCACTGGTACTGCAGACTAAATTCACGGGCTGCCCAGGAAAAAGTCCCATAGAACTCAATGTAAATTAAAACAGCTCGACCTCAGCTGACAGAGAACCTGACAGAGAACCTACAGCTTTCATAAAGATCAGATTTTAGTGTCCCTTGTCATCCTGAACTTTTTTTCTTTAAATCCACACTTTACTGCCACAAACTCTGCTCCTTTCCTTCCCGCTCTGACTCCGCTCTACCTCTGCTCTGATCAGCAACTCTGATTGGTCAAAGCGCGGCCGAGCCCCTCTGTGCACGTGCATGACAGCCACACAGACGTATTTGGCGCAAAGCATCATGGGAGCTCGTCCACTGCGCAGAACTGGGAGGACCAGACGATGCCCAAATATAGGCGAGTTCTGCTAATCTCTCGGTCTTGAATGTGATTTAGGATTATTCATTTTTATGATACACTGTATTCATACCATACTCCTCATCCAAATATAGTCAGATATTGTGACAAAACTGTGTCCCTTCTGTGATAACCAGCAGATGAAGAGGTCACTCGGGCTCTATAGGATCACAGAGGAATCTGCTTCATCATTAGCAGCGATTTTCATGTTGTTTGTTGTTCTAATTAGATGTTATTTGTCGATTCATTTAATCAATTGTGTTTAATAAGGCGGCAAATGTCAGTGACAAACCTGCGGTGTCAGGAGCAAAGACTTAACTAGCTTAAAACGGCTTCAAAAATGCCTTCTTTGTTTGTTTTGATTGGTCTAAATGAACTGTGATGTGGTTTGGGATGATATTAGTCCAACTTTGAACCAGAAAAGTCCTCTATGGTTTCAGAACTCACAGGAAATAACAGAACAGGGGCAGGGTCTTTACTTCTGGCTCAAAAACTAGTATCAGCAGAAGAACCCAGGCCACGAGACAATTGCCCTGGACCTCTTTTCTCTTTTATGCATTACATTTTGTATAAAAACACTGCTTACAGTGAGACGCACATGGTGTTTCTACTGGTGTGTTCTATGTTCATTCTTTATTTAGTTCTTAGTCGATTACTGTTTTACATTATTTGTGTGTATTTGTTACGGAATTTGAGTGTATTTACTTTTGTTGTTGTTAGAGCAGAGTTTTTGGACTTATTATTTTGGCTCTATCAAGTTTCATTATCTATATGACACTTGTTTATTGTCAAAATATACTGTTGAACGAGTACTGTTATGGAATCTAATGTCTTGTTATTAAATCATGTTGTGACCAGTTTAAACAGTCTCTATCTGCAACATTTTAATGGCATTTAAGTATGGCTTATATGTGGACAAATTGATTTTCTTCAAAAATATAAATGGTGCGGCTTACATACAGTATACAGGTGCACCTTGTAGTCCAGAATGTACGGTAGCTTAAATGTGGTTGCTGTGACCTTAAACTGGGTGCCCCGTCAGATGCATCCATCACATCGTGTTGTTGGAGTGTGGCCTCTCGTCTAGACGTGTTTTACAGACTCGTATGTGACACCGAGAAGAGCAGCGAAGGTGTCCTCCTCAAATGAACTCTCATTCACCGACAGAACATTTGTCTCAATGCCTTCGCAACTGGACCGTCTCTGTCATAAATATGGCCTTGAAGACTAGAGACGTTTGAATTGGAACCATTCATTGTGGATTCTTTATAAATTCTTCTCATGAACAGTGACTGAAATATTGAATTTTTTAATAAACAAATGTGGAATAACTTAAATTGCATTTAACTTTATGCAAATACTAGTTTTGATCATATAACCTGGTCCTATCATCTACATTCAGTTATTTTTTAAATCTATTTCCTCTTGACAGAACCATTACCAGTAAGATTTGCAGGAGGAGAAGGAGTTAGACCAATAATTATGGGCTTCAACTGTCTATGAAGACTTTTAATACGTTTTGTCCAATCAGAAACCAGTGGGGGCGGGTCTATCTTTGATTGGTTGTATTCTCCTCAAGTTGAGACTTCCATATTCACACATTTTACACCATCCATAATTTGGTGTGATTGGAAATTACATCCAATTGCATAATGTGCTACATGAATAATAATGACTTCTTATTTATTGACATGGTTTGACATCCATACTGAGATTTCAGATGTACTAAATATAAATAATGAGCCACAGATTCTCACTCGACAGAGGCATTATATCTTCTTTAGAAACACACTTACAATTGTTTTCATTGAAGTATAGTACCTGTGGATTATGATTATGAGCTGAAGCTTGGATTCATCTACATGCAGAATGCAACATGATTGCTCTGTACTTCATGTTCATAATAATTAAGCAGCAGATTACAGGAGCTATTCATATGAATCCAAACGGCCATAACAGGCAGCAGAGTGTTTGTATCGGGAGAGGTGACAGATGACAGTTTGTTCCAGACTTTGGCCCTCTTAACGCTAGGATCGCTTGGACGTTCACTCCTCTCGACCTTGGTGCTTCATATCTGAGTGTGCTGGTCTAATGCTGCGCTGGATAATCTGTGTCCAGTGGCTCTCAAAGACCTCAATCAGATCACCACTTTCATCTTTTCTGCCCATTTCAGCCTGCACTGCGGCGTGACTATTAATTGCTCTGGCTATTTATATTGATGGGAGCGACGCAGGGGCTTGTTGTTGGATCAAAGTGACAATCACAGCGATGTTGACCACAACTGTGATCCCAAAGCATTTTATTCTAAGATACTCTAATTACGTCTATATTTACAAACTTCCATCGTGCTTCAAATGAACTTTAAGTGGCCACATTACAGATGCAGGCGCTGATGTACTGAGGTTAGTAGAAAGGCTTCTGATGCTGAACTAGAATAAAACCGAAATCACTCAAATCACCCAAACATGTCTTCTCTGTTGCAATACGCAGAAAGAGGAATGAGATTTGTTTTGCCCAACTACGAAATCTCACTTTATCCAATTTCCTGGCATTTCAGAATCAGAAAGAGAATTATTTTTATTTCCAACAGGAAGTCATAAACTAGGAATTTACTTTGGCGACAATTGTAATTATAACTGTTCTTATGCCCAGAAGGATTGGTCTGGAGCCTCGGTCTGAGGGGAGTGGATGTGGATGGAGTTGCTGTTTCATTTGTGAGGGATTATGTGCACAAAATAACCTACAACATTAAATACATTAAAATGCATGTGCATCTAAGAGCTTGATTTAAACAAAGCTTACACTAAGTTCTGCTTATATTTTAACATTGAATTGAGTGTAATTTGAATCTCTTAAAGATTCAAGATATACATTATTTTTGCCATTTGTGTTTAGTACAGTACAAATATAAAAAGTTGCTAAAAGAACATAGCGCAGGAAACAATTATCACTGTGAAAAGTGCTCATACAATGAAGCGCAACATCAACAATCAAGGCGCATTGCTTGATCTGCTTGTTAAAAGTTGGCTTTTGAAGTCCTGAATCTTTTTAAATATTATTTCAAACACTTTGGTCAAATTATTTAACTTTTATTTTAAAGACAGACATTGGGTTCTCTAGTAATATAAATAATCTAATCCTTACAATATAATGCATGAATTGAACACGTACACCTTGCTTGTGTATCTGTATGTCTCCCGTAGACCCTAATGAATGCTAAACTCTCTCATTATCTCTTGAAGCGGCCTACATTTCCCGGTGGCAGGGGTTAAGTGATCAAGCGTCTTACCGGGCATGTGCACCATCCTGCAGCTGCACACACGGATGACCTCGTTGGTCTCACACAGCAGGCGGCAGGCGCTGATGCTGTACGTGTCGTATCCAGGGATCTTCTCTGTGCTGCTGGAGCGGCAGTTCCCCCAGGGCTGGGGCAGGTAGGTCAGCTAAAACACACAGAGATTTATGAGCCCTGGAGTTAAGCAGCGGCAGACGACTTCAACAACAGATGCGGTTGTGTTAGGTCCATACTCTTTTTTTTCATCCTAATTCTGAACTTTTACTCCAGAGGGTGTTCTAGCTACCCTTCAATCTGGAGATCCCTTATTCAAATGTTATTAGAATTGTATATTGGTTGGCACTACATAAACTAGTACATACAACTAAAATGTGTTGCATACTGAAAGAGATACTGTATATTTGGACTCCAACAGAGCACTGTATGATGATTGGAGAAGGGGAAATAGAAATAGGGATTATAAGATGATGGTGGTAGCTAGAGAAGGGTGAAAGAGCTGGTCAGGTCGACGAGGTGGTGATGGGGAGGAGGAGGGTTGCTGCATGGATGAAAGCCGCTGCTTAAATGAAAGCTTCTTGTACTTTCTAGCACTATGTGAAGGCTTGATTACTTTTGTTACTGTCGTGTGAGGGTTGAGTGTGGGGCTGCCGCTGAGTGTGATTGACTGATTTCTGCGGCAAAGGCAGAAGGACATGGACCCAGTGAGCTTTGTTCTTTGGACTTCCAGGCTGATTTTCCACTTCACCTTCAATTTTGTTGTGATAAAGTTCCAAGTTAGGGCTGGTTTTGCATGTCTACTCTGTGGCTAAGTCCAGGATATTTTCTTGCATTAGACCTGATTTGGTCAGAGTTTTTGGTTTCACAGAGTCCCGTCTTCAAAATGCTGCATGAAACAGGAAGCTGGAACATCACAGCCAGGTTTATGTGTAGATATTTCAATCCCCTATTTAGTTTATGTACACATATGTAGTTCATATACCGAACAGTACTTTATACATGAAAAGCTGAATTCATTTTCTGTGTTCAGTGTGAAAAGTTTGTGAACCAGCGTACAGTCCATGAGATATCTATTGTTAGAACATTGTGCTCAGAGGTAATGGATGAGGAGCCTACCCTCTGCTCCTGACAGGACACAAAGGTCTGGAAGCCCGGGGAGACTCCGAAGCCGAGCTGGTGGATGTACGGAGGCTCGTCCTGACTGTGGATCTGCACACGTATCCCGGCCTCAAGAGACGTCTCATCTGCAGCAGCAAACACAAGAGTCAAGCAGGCAACAGCAGGAGCCCTGATGGAGGAGAACTACATCATTAAATAAACTAACATTTAACTAAAAGACTTTTTGGGAATGATTTAAGGTAATAAGTTATTCCTGCTAATTTAAAGCTGGGGACCCACATTTTGTGTTGTTTGTCTAGAAAGAACAAAAGCTTTTATCGAAAACAATTTTCTTTTAAATACTTGGAAAGAAAGAGTTGGATTGGCTGAGCAAGATTTGTCCTCTACATTTCACCTTTGTGACTAAAACATACAAACTACAGAACTAGTGAATGCTGTGAAAACCAATTTATGTCATGACTTTGGTGAAGTTACAACAGTGTATGCATGTTTTTAAAATCACAGAGAAATAAATATATTACTTGAGTGGCAGAGCGTCCACTTCTGGCTTACATTGTACGCTTTTCTTTTTGTTGTTACAATTTAACTGTTTCCTCAAATTATTAATATACTATAATTGCTCCTTTTTGTCCTATTGTTAATTTTATTGATCTGATCTTGAAATTTAGTTTGGCTTCTCTTTTGAAAGGGTTTTGCCCCATACTTTGGAGAATTTACGTAATGAATTGGATTAGGCAAAAATAAGTTATAATTCAGACTAATCCCTTTGGTCACAATTGCGTTTCTATGTTAAAGCATGTCCACTACTGACATAAGCTGCATTGTTTTTGTTTGTCAAAAAATAATAATATGTATGACCGAATAAACAAACTACTACTACATTGACTATAAAATAATATGTTTTTTGCTTTACCTGAAATGCTCCGAAGCAAATCACTAGAAAGAGCTAGCAATTAAAACTGCAATTTCTATCTTTAACTGATTTTTACCATTTACTTTAAAATATCTTACTATGAGCAGATCTGACTTGATGCTGTCTCCATCAAGAAAGAAAAGCTTAATTCCCTACAGTTTATGTGCAAAAGGATTTGAGTTACATTTGCTTTTAAAACTCAAAGAAACTTGGAATCCAACTCTGTCTTGTTTTTGGGATAATCTCACATATTTCAAAGTGCAATAGTTTGCTCGTTTGACAGGAGCCGCATTCCCGTCGAAAACCCGTTGCCGACGAAAATCAGATACATCGAGTTGTTTTTGCCCGTGTGCAAACCATCTTCCCAGAAATGTAATGAAAACACACAGCAAGTTGAATTTCTATTTTGAGCAATACTCTGAGTGCATGACAGGAGAACGTGGAAGAAAAATGTTGTGGCTTACTCGTCTCCCTCCAGATGGGCAGATACTCGTCTTGCTGTATATCCAACATGATCTCCAGCCCGTTCCCCATCCCGCCTTGTTTGGTCTTCCTCAGCGCTGTCTTGTTGCCATTAAAAGTATAGCATTTTCCATATCGCGTGTACACCTAGAAAGAAGACAGCAAAGATTAATATCGGGGCTATGACCATAAAAAACATGAGAACGCCAAACACACATACACACACATTTGCAGGCGGTGACAAGCTCGCGAAATGAAAACCCGGATAGAAAGTGGAGAATAAATAAACAAGATGAGAAAGTGAGGGACCACAAGCACCTGGCCTCCGTGTGTCCCCAGCGCACTTGGATAAGCAGTCACTGAAAGTATTCTGCGACAGGCTGTATATTATGTGGAACAACCAAACATCCCAAGAAACAGGGGTATAGGAGAAAACTAGGAGTCCATATGGTTTTTCTTCTTCCCATTCCGTTTGGAGCTGATCATTTGTAAACAATCGTATGAATACAATTGCAAATATATTGACTCATGGTGAAATATTAGTAGTCATAGTAGTATTAGTAGTGGTAGTAGTAGAAACCAAAGCATCTGGAAGAAACTAAACAGAAACAGGTAGAACATGCAAACTCCATTCAGGCTCCGCACCACCCTGGAGTCAAACCATACTGTATATATTAACGGAAGTAGTAACCTATCTCTGCTGTTCAAACTAATGGGCCAAAAATTGGACTTTCATGGAGTGATTCAAAATGGCCGCGGGGGCTGGAAAATGTGAAAAAAGCATCTGCGCATGCGTCAGCTGCACAAGCTCCATTCATTTAAACGAGTGACTTCACAAATTCACAGCGAGTAACTAGACTGGTCCAAAAAAATTCACCCCCCTCAGCATTGACACACATGTGGGACGGAGCTTTGGGCCAAGAGCCAACTTTTGGACCATCCTGTAAAGACGTTTTAAGAGGTCGGATAATGCTATATATTAGCATTGGCTAATTCTTATTCTGGGTCCACCCCCATCGGCCCGGGGTGGTATTGCAGCATGTCAGCGCACGTCCTTTTGGCCACTTTTGAGCAGGGACCCGCCCCCACTGGTTCAAACCCAAGACCTTCAATGTTGAGAGGCAAGAAAGCAAACTGCTGAGCCCTCAAAGCGTTGGAAATATACATAAAACAATTCCAATGCAATAGAATATTTATTGGTCAAAAATGCAATATGTGTTTATGTAAGTATGAATATGTGGTACTATTTGTAAAAATGTTGGCAGAAAGAGGTTTATTTCCTTCGCCAGGGCATTTTATTTATGCCAGGATTTGTTTGGCCATTTGTTTGTTACTTTGCAGCATAACTAAAAAAGTCCGGATTTTAACATAATTTATAATCATCAGAAAACTGGGACATGGGACAGATAGATTTGTTACATTTACCTCTTCTTGGCGGAGGTCATTAAGTACCTTTCCAGACATATAAACTGTAAACACGTTTTCAGCACAAAACTCCACCTATGACATCACTGAACATTATTATGAAACCTTTTTGGAGATTCAAGCAGGAACCACAAAACCAAATACACAAATGTTTCTGACAAACGAATGAGATGGTCCTGATACAAACACCATCACACCCTCTACTCCAAATCAAGGTCATTTACAAGACTGCACCGCCCAAACGACCTAAACCCTAAAATATTTGCAGATGTAATAGAAGGGAAGAGTCTCATTGAAACGACAGCATTTGAACTTTGCATAAACATGTGCGACACACGCCCATATCACAGTTTACAGGCAGCGTGGAGCAGCTGTCCTGGAAGGCAGCAGTGTAAACAGCGCTGGCCTCTGCTGTAATCACTGCTGTGGATTCAGTGGTATTGTCCATAAAGACTTTGTTCTGAGCCTCCCTGTGGTCACTGAGGAGGACTTGAGCACGGGCCCTGTGGTTAAGCATCCCAGGTCTTTAGGAGGGTCACGTCACAGTCACAACGTAATGTTTATGTAGGTTAAAGTCTGTCCTGCGTCTTCGGCACCAGAATAATTCACTGCATGATATGAATGATGAAGATTAACAAGAGTCTATAGTCAGATAGGAGAATGTAGAGTCATAAAATGGTCATATTAATTAAACTTTTGAATCAACTTTTGCTCTTTTCAGGCGCCCAAAAATCACCGTCCAATTTTATGCATTGTTTATTCGCTCTTCTCGACGGTGGTAATCTACTCGTGTCGCAACAGCTGCACTGACAGAAGCTAAGGCTAAGATAAATATACATGTTTGTGAAACGAAGGGAATTTCCCTCGCGAGTAATAAACCAGTCTATATTAATTTCCATGTTTAAAAATGCCAGATTAAAACTGACTTGTAGAACTGAAAACCATGTGGTTATGGACCTCTCGCTGCATACTTCCTGTAGTTGTCCGTTAAGGAGACATAGTGTGCTTCCTCCAGCTCGTGATCATCTATGACACCAGTCAATCCAAATCATATTTACTACATTCAGTCCTCTGTGATCTGAACTGACCACTTTTCAGTGAAAGCCTGATCCAACCTGCCCTTTGTGCCAGGATGGAGGGACGCCTTTCCCCTGTGGTCTGGGAGCGCCCAGAGGAGGTCAGTTTTGGGGGTGATGGTCCTCCTCTCATGCCAGGTGCCTGTTCTCCCATGCTCCTTCTTTTAGATGGTAAAACAGGGTAAAACAATAGTTCTCTTAGCGCTGCTCACACTGTCTACAAATTACACAAAATAAAAAACTGACTCGCAGATAATGGGCCATGACATTCGTGGAAAAATGTCCTCCTACAATTGAAAATGATGCAACGCTGGTTAATCATCTGCATACTAGAGTTCCAGAGAAGAATCAGCAAAAGTATATTAGAAATGTTAGTATCAGTGATCAGAAGAGACGGTGAAAGAATGGCATCTCGGGTGTAAAGAACATTCATAAATAAACTTGAAGTGTTTAATGTGACCATTTAAATGGACAAAGGTCGAAGGGAGAAAGAAAAAAAGCCAGTTATTTTTGAGCTCAAGTTAAAATGCTCAATTTAATATGAGGCTATATTCCTGATGAGCTTCAAAAGGTCATTAATACCTGAGATCGGTCCTTTCTGTGTATGTCTAGTGACTGGTGATTAGAAAATGGGGGTCAGCAAGGTTCTGGAGAGGCCAATGGAAAACGCAGGTATCCACGTGTGACTGGTGATTGACACGCTTTTTGGGCTGAAATTGTTTAATCTCTATTTGTGGCTGTGTGGAGCGGAGTCAGGGGTGAGACTTATCTCTGATCCATCACAGACACTGACACCGAAACCTGCACGGGGCTCGCTTTATCTGACGGGACTGACAACAGCAGGAAGAAGGATTTTAAACAGCGAGACCTGTCCTGAACTAAAGGACTAAAGCTGAAGCAGACAATTTCAGTCAGGAGCGGGACTGAACCAGGATATGGCAAGGACATGAGTGGAAATATGTCCTCAACGTCCTTTGCCTATTCCAAGTGAAAGAGAAGCTGACGCACTCCAGTCTCCTGTATGTGATCTATGCATCTGTGGCTCATCCTTAAACATGAAAGTCTCATTATCGTGTGTAAAAGTCAAAAATGACGCATGCTATTTCTTCAGTGACCGCATCAAAGGCTCCATCACAGATCAAGTTCAACGAATAAAAGGTCAATCATTTAAAAAAAAGTTGGGATGCGTTCAACAACGACAAATCAGTCCAAACGGTACCATTGCTCAGGTGGCTACAATCACAGAAGTCCGGGTGGAACTAAAACATGATTAACTCTAAAACCACCTTTGCATTTTATAAGTCAAATTAGCATTGAACACTTAACTCATTGACTACCATTGACATACAGTATCTGTCTGAGACCCTCTATTCAACTGGGGATAACAGGACAATAAAAACAGCTATAAACAAACTTATTTTTGCTGATGAAAGTAGACAATTCAGTCTTTCAGAATCTGGTTTCATATTTCACATAGTCTTAGGAAATAATATTCTGTGGGTCTTGAGAATCAGTGAAATCATCAAAAACGGCTGGCAGTCATTGAGCTAAAGACTTTGCCGTCCTTGACACAGCATACAAATGTTTTTGGCTATTTCTGAATCAGAAAGAATGTAATGCCATTGTCAGTGAAAGAACATCACAAAGTAGGAAGGTTCTTTGTTCTTATATACTGCAAAGAAACAATATTGAATGTTCTACAACGCAACATTTTTTATAACATGAAGGTGCAGAACAAAATCCCTTGACATCTGTAGGCTCTGACATTTAAGACAAACTAAAAGCTCATTCGTTATTTTTAGCAGACTTCTCGATGTGTCTGTTATGCACATCATGCTTTTGTTTTTATATGAAATGTGCTCAAATACATGTTTTCTTCTTCTGGCTACACACGTCGAAAATATAATGAACAATAAGCAGCTAAGCTTATTGTTCAAGATAAAGTACTTTTTTCTGTTATTATAGATAAAACCTTTAGAATCAGCCTTCAGACATAATGAAATTGTTGTTTAATTGATCTTGAAGTCTCGACAATGACTCAGTGGCATTTTCTTAACTGTGTTTTTCTGGTTCAGTCAGTCCAGCGCATGCTACAGTATACAGTGCCTTGCGAAAGTATTCGGCCCCCTTGAACCTTTCAACATTTTGCCACATTTCAGGCTTCAAACATAAATATATTAAATTTAAATTTTTTGTCATGAATCAACAACAAGTGGGACACAATCGTGAAGTGGAACGAAATTTATTGGATAATTTAAACTTTTTTAACAAATAAAAAACTTAAAAGTGGGACGTGCAATATTATTCGGCCCCTTTACTTTCAGTGCAGCAAACTCAGTCCAGAAGTTCAGTGAAGATCTTTGAATGATCCAATGTTGTCCTAAATGACTGATGATGATAAATAGAATGCACCTGTGTGTAATCAAGTCTCTGTATAAATGCACCTGCTCTTTGATAGTCTCAGGGTTCTGTTTAAAGCGCAGAGAGAACCATGAAAACAAAGGAACACACCAGGCAGGTCCGAGATACTGTTGTTGAGAAGTTTAAAGCCGGATTTGGATACAAAAAGATTTCCCAAGCTTTAAACATCTCAAGGAGCACTGTGCAGGCAATTATATTGAAATGGAAGAAGTATCAGACTACTGCAAATCTACCAAGACCCGGCCGTCCCTCCAAACTTTCAACTCAAACAAGGAGAAGACTGATCAGAGATGCAACCAAGAGGCCCATGATCACTCTGGATGAACTGCAGATAACTACAGCTGAGGTGGGAGAGTCTGTCCATAGGACAACAATCAGTCGTGCACTGCACAAATCTGGCCTTTCAATCAATCAATCAATCAATCAACGTTTATTTATAGAGCGCCTTTCCTACACAAGGCAACGCAACGCAACGCCACTCTTTATGGAAGAGTGGCAAGAAGAAAGCCATTTCTCAACGATATCCATAAAAGGTCTTGTTTAAAGTTTGCCACAAGCCACCTGGGAGACACACCAAATATGTGGAAGAAGGTGCTCTGGTCAGATGAAACCAAAATCTAACTTTTTAGCTACAATGCAAAACGATATGTTTGGCGTGAAAGCAACACAGCTTATCACCCTGAACACACCATCCCCACTGTCAAACATGGTGGTGGCAGCATCATGGTTTGGGCCTGCTTTTCTTCAGCAGGGACAGGGAAGATGGCTAAAATTGATGTGAAGATGGATGGAGCCAAATACAGGACCATTCTGGAAGAAAACCTGTTGGAGTCTGCAAAAGACCTGAGACTGGGACGGAGATTTATCTTCCAACAAGACAATGATCCAAAACATAAAGCCAAATCTACAATGGAATGGTTCACAAATAGACGTATCCAGGTGTTAGAATGGCCAAGTCAAAGTCCAGACCTGAATCCAATCGAGAATCTGTGGAAAGAGCTGAAGACTGCTGTTCACAAACGCTCTCCATCCAACCTCACTGAGCTCGAGCTGTTTTGCAAGGAAGAATGGGAAAGAATTCCAGTCTCTTGATGTGCAAAAACTGATAGAGACATACCCCAAGCGACTTGCAGCTGTAATTGCAGCAAAAGGTGGCGCTACAAAGTATTAGCGCAAGGGGGCCGAATAATATTGCACGCCCCACTTTTCAGTTATTTATTTGTTAAAAAAGTTTAAATTATCTAATACCTTTTGTTCCACTTCACGATTGTGTCCCAGTTGTTGTTGATTCTTGACAAAAAAAAATATTTGTATATCTTTATGTTTGAAGCCTGAAATATGGCGAAATGTTGAAAGGTTCAAGGGGGCCGAACACTTTCGCAAGGCACTGTATATATGTATATTTTCTGCAGTTGTTCCTCTTCCCAACAGATTGAGTGAGTTAACAAAGAACTTGAGCTATTCCCAAATGGGGGATTTGGCGTCGGTGCTGACAAGTTGAAACAGTGCAGCGACATGGCAGTTACAAAGCGGATGAAAGGACCATTTGTGTGGCGCTCGTTCACAACAACTAATTATCACAGCTCTTAACTCTGCTTTGTCTCTGTTTGTTGACGTTGCCCTGGAGTCCGTAGTTTAATGTGACTGTTCCAACGAGGGCTGCGACGAGAATCATGCCAAAAAGTATTTCTGTTTAGCGTTTGTCAGACATGTTATGAGAAAATACAATCGTAAATGTCATAGGTGCTGTTAATAGGAGGACATGGAGAGAACCGTATAGGAATAGGAGATGAAGTATGTAAAGTGAAGACGTCTTTAACACACAGTTGCTGAGATAATGGAGCGTAAAAAGCCAATTGAGAAGATCCATTTAAACAAGTCGGCACAAGTCAATTAATCTGACCAGTGATTTAAAATGGACTTATGAAGGATTTTAGCCCTGTCACAAAAACACATTTGGGTGGATGTTATATTTCTTTCATAAAATGATTGTGATAAACAAGCTAACCGTCTGACAAAC